TCTTTTGTTTTTTTTAAAATATTCTAGATAAATATAAATATTTTCTCAAAATCTTTAATTAAGAGAAAAAAAAATTGCAGTTATTTAAAAAAAAAAAGAGAGAGTGATAAAATTATCAAAATTTTGGTGATTTTAATAATATTGGTAACGATAATAACCACATCAATGGAAAAAAGGTAAAAGATGTAATTTTATTTCAATTAATTAAATTAAATCATTAAATTAATAAAAAAATTTAATTAATTATAATAATTTTCAACTTTTTAAATCAATCAGGCCTAAAGAATCTCGAGGGGGAGGGCCAAGTGGGTTAAACTTTTTTGAATAAATGGTAGAGTCTCCCTTGCCCATAAATTATTCTATTCATTTCATTACCTCCAAAATAGAGGATTATTTTTAAATTAATCAAATTATAATGTTATTAAGTGATTCTAATTAAATTGCATTTAACATAAAAAAAAATCTTGAATTGTGTTTGGGGTTTGATATATATATATATATTTTTTTTTTCTTTTTATAAGGGCAATGGTTAACGGTTAATATGTTAGAGGTGTTAGTGGGGAGTATTGAATTCAAAACTTGAGAGTGCAAACAACGGGCTGCTCTTTGAGGCAGTAAGTGACCACTGAACCACGGTACATAGAATGCTTGATGATCTCTTTTTAGTTGTAGTAAAAAGTGGTTGGTTGTATTCATATAAAATATTAAAAAATATTGAAAGAATATATTTATAATATCATATAATATTATAAATTTATAATAATAACACATTATTATATGATTAATTCTTTTTATTTTGGCATTCACCTTTAATATTATATACATGTACTCATTTAAATGACATGTTATATATAGTTGTAAACTTATAATCTTATATGATATTATAAATATATTATTGTCGCATAAGATATCAATAAAAAGTGAGTTAAGAGATAAGAAAAAATTATCTTCTATCATATAACATAAATTAATAATAAAAAAATAAAAAAATAAAATCTTTTTGATTTGCCAAAAAAAAATCAAGTAGAGGTGAAATTATCAAATAGGCTCACAAAGTTTTATAAATTTAGTTTTAAATTTGACTTAGAACTCATTAAATATAGGAGCTGAAATTTCAATGCTGTTGGTTATTATTGTTTATAATTTAAATATTCAAAATCATCTAATTAATCAAACATGCAAACAACTAACTTTTTACTTTATTATTAAATTGTACAATATAACGATTTGGGGTTAAAACTATTATATAATATTATTTGGTACATTTTTTCACCAACTACTAAATATTTATTGTTTGGTAAAATTTTTTAGTCGGTAACAATCAGCAATTAGAGGTTAGAGCTCAATATCCCTTTGGAGATTGAAAAGGCTAACTTTCCACTCCAAATTGCTAGTAGCAAATTAGAATTCTTAAATTATTATGATAAATTTACCAAGGCATGACTTCTCCCACCTATTTTAGTTGACAGCTCTTACATACATCATTACTAACATACATTTCTAGCAAATCTCTTACAAGCTAACAAGATTGCAAAATCTTCAAAGTTCTAACATTGTAGTGACCATATCTCCTATGCCATAAGTTAGTCATATCTTCTTTAGAAATAACAACATGCTGCTTAACATCACTCCACATTAGAGGGAAGCTATTATCAACCATTTTCACATTAGCAACCTCAGAACCATGCACATCAAAAATCTGACATACATCTTGTTTAAAATGTACAGAATATCCATGCTTAATTAATTGTGCAACACTCAACAAGTTTTGACTCAAACTAGGAATGTACAAAACATCAAAGATAGTCTTAATACCTTCCTTAGTTTGAAATGAGACATTACCCTTGCCTTCTGCTTGCACTACATAACCATTGCCAAGTCTGACTCTTGTTCGAATGGACCTATCCAGCTTTGTAAACAGCTCCACATCTTTGACCATATGATTTATACAACCATTGTCAACATACCATGAATTCTCTAAAGTCACAAAACAACTATGCATAGCTACAAACATATAATCTTCCTCATTCTGATCTTTTGTGTAATTAGCCTGCTACACTTGCTTTGGCCTGAACTGCACTTGTTTAGCCTTGCAGAATTTTTCTGTATGACTAATTTTCTTGCAGTTGTTGCAGTAAAACCTTGGCTTTCCCTTGTGCCAATAGTCTTTTTCAAGATGATTTGTCGTCCTGCAATTTGGACAAGGAGGAAATTTGTCTTTCTTGTCAAAATTTCTAGAAGATTCAACTTGTTGTTTACCTTTCTCCACTTTATTAGCTTCCTGCTTCCAATTTGAACTTGCAACTAAATATTTCCCCTTGTGCTTAGCTTGAAATGCTCCTTCGACACTTTCATCATATCTCATTGCAAGTCTTTTTTCATGAGCTTGCAATTTTCCAGTGAGTGCTTTAATGGAAAGCTTGCTCAAGTCATAAGATTCTTTAATTGCAGCAACTTTAGGTTCAAATCTATCAGGAAGACTAACCAACATCTTGTCGACCACTCGTGAATCATGAAATCTCTCTCCCTACATTCAAATTTGAGTGACCAAATCAACTAATTTTGAAGAATACTAACATATTGTATCAGTTTCCTTCATCTTCCACATTTCAAACTCTCGTTTGAGAGCTAACAGTGTCACACTCTTATCTCTAGCACTCCCCTCATACTCTTCTTTAAGTGCTTCCCAAACTTCTTGTGCATTTTGGCAGGATGCAATTTTGGGGAAAATATCATTTGCCACTACACTATGCAGAAAAGAAAGTGCTCTATATGTACTTGCCTTTTACTTTGCGTTTCTCTTCATTTGTACCACTGTTGGGTTTTCCTGTGGAAAAGGAAGTTGGAAACCATGCTCAATGACCTCCCAAACATCATTCCCTTTGAGGAAGGCTTTCATTCTAATAGCCCAGAAATCATAATTCTCTCCATTGAACATTGGAAGAAAAGAAAATGAATTTGTTGAAGAAGAAGACATTCTGAGATGCTGTAGAAGAGCAAGATTCTCTCTCTCACTTGTCACTCGTGTTTCACTTTTTCACACCTCTCTAAGATTTCTCACAGATCCCTCAAGAGTTGTAAGCTCTGATACCAATTTGTGAAAGTAAAGATGTAATGCGAGTGGAAATGAACATAAATTCAAGATTTAACTTGAATTGACATGAACATAAACACTGAAATTGATAGAACATAAACTGAGTTTTATCTAGTATATACCAGTAAACATGAACATAAACATAAAGCGTACATACTGTTTTTCAAAGAAAAACAACAACTCAAACATGACAATTACTAAAACATAAGGACGTTAAGAAATTGTAAGATAAACTACTACACCATGAAGCGTGAATCAAAAACTTACATAAAGAAAACTGCTACATAACATAACTGTCATAATAAAATTAAAAGACTTGGTCTCAGTTGCTTCGACAAATGCCATCAGAACCCTCACAACCTCCAAAATACTCAAAGCCGTCGCCAGTTCTTCTCTACGTGACCATCCCAGTACCTCCAGGCCGACCTTCAGCACCCTTGTCACGAAAGCTGCGTTCCTAGGTTGGTCAGTGCCCATTGGCCATGCAGCTATATGCACTCCCATACTTACGCTCTCCAGATAGGATCCCCACCCATAGTGACTCATGAAACCACCAACCAAAGGATGCCCAATATTTCCACCTGAGGAGTCCACCCTCTTAACACCATCGCCTGTCCTTCCGTTCTCTGTTCAAATCCTTCTGGAAGCCGGCAACTCTATCTGCTTTTCCAACCGCCCAGATGAGTTTGATCTCACTTAATTCTAACCCGATGGTAAGCTCCTTGATTTGTTTGCTTTCCATAGAACTCTGTGTCCCAAAAGATACATATATCATGGAATTTGGTGGTTGTTTATCCAGCCAGTCCAAGCACTTGTGTTTCCTGTTGTTGGAGTTGTTTTCCTCATGGTTGCATATCATCTGGATCAACGGCCCAACCGCCCAACGCATTTTCTCTCCTTGATCTATACAAGCTAGAAGATCGATCTGGTCACCCTCAATCAATCTACAACTATTGTGGATGTCACCAGTTCAGTATTGTAAGAAATCGGCTTTAGTACCTTGAAACTTAAAAACGCCTTCGGAAAAGCAGCTTTCAAGAGATGGTAGGTTGTCAGGGATTTCAACTTCTTTTGGAGCAGTGATTTCATTCCTTAATCTTTCCTAGATTAACGAGAAAGGCACGGAAGCGGAGAAGTAAAAAAAAGAGCAGAGCTCTGCATTTGGTAACGAAGCAGTGTCCTGAACAGCGTAAGACATTAAAGTAGCATGGATTCCTACTAACTTCTTGGCTTGAGAGGAGAGGGTTTGAAGGAGTGCAGCTAAAGGTTGGTGGAATTGCATAGAGGACTCAAAGGATGGAGGAAGATTGGGATTGGTGGGACAAGGAGAAAGCTGGAGCTCAGGGAATTGGATTTTGGAGAGGAGAAAAGGGTGTGAGAAGCGGAGTTTGGCTTGACAAGCATGGATAGAAGAGGAGACGTAGTGAACATGAAGTTGGATAGATGACGAGGACAAGCTGCATAAAAGTTCCATCATCTAGTTTAAATGGCTTTGATCCAGAAACAGCATCGTCACAATGATCACCGGAGAACTGATCTGGTGGTGGTTGTTGGCCATTGTTCTCTGGTGAAGACTTGTTTCCAGAGATGAATTGTTATTTTTTTTAAAGTCACTTTGGGTTTTGAATTAATATAAGGTCGAGTCGAGTTAAACTTATAAGCAAAAACTCTCATAGTCTCTGTTTTTTTATTCACAAGAATTGAATTTAAAATTTTGTTATTTTTTAATCCCCTACCTAAAAATCACATTGGGTCTTAATTAATATGTAATTAAGTTGAGTTGAACCATATAAGGGAGAAACTCTTTCAACGCCTCTTTTTTCATTCATAAGACTCAAACTTGAGAACATGTATGTTGTTTCTCCATTCCCTCTAATATTATATTTTAATTAATCTAGAAT